GCACATCTCATTTCCCAGTTTTTCCTTAGAAGCTTTTGGTTCTCCACTGTTATCTGCCACTTCAGGTAGCCATGAAGTTAACCAACTGCCTTTAATTTTTCAAGACTTGCTTCTGGGGAAAAGCCTTTTCATGTCAGGTGAACTCCAAGTCATGTCAAATAAAGACAGCCTTCCAAGCAGGGTCTGGTACAGAAGCACCAGACAGGCCAATAATGAAAATTCTCAGAGAATGAGGCTTTGAAGAAGCTCCAGGCCCATTCTGGCCCTTCTGGAGACTGCCAAGTTACTGGTTTTCACTGAAAAACGCAGGCTGTTATTTGTTAAGGGTACTGTGGAGCTGGAAAGGGTAAGATGAGAATAGGGTGAATTAAACCACCACAAAGCTCACTGTTCTTACCAAGATTCAGCTGGTTTTGTTTTGAACACATGCTTCCTGAGTTGCTGGACACTTTTGGTTGATTTCCAGAGTTCTTAAAAAATTTATCTTGACAAATTCTGCCAGTTTTGTCAACGATTTTATGGAGAAAAGATTTTCAGAGGATTAAACTGCCATTTTTTGCTGATGTCATTGTGGCAAATAACTCTGGAATTTGACTTTACATTACTTACTGAAATTTAATGTGTTTCTAGTGTAGGAGCTTGCCATTTTACTCTTAGTAATGCCACTGTGAAAGAGCAGGCCTGTTAAAGACTATCCATAGCATATTATTCAAAAGAACAAAAACCCAGAAATTAAAACGTCCAACAAAATAAATAAATTATGATGTACAAGGGAATACTTCTCCACAATGAAAATGAATGACTCACAACAATATAAATTCATACGGATAAATCCTCATAACATGATTTTAAGTGGAGGGAAAGATATCTGAGGAATAATATATTTTATAATAAGATTCCATTTTTACAAAGGTCACAACATATGGTAAAAACTATCAAGGAAAGGAAAAGAAATAATTTTTAAAATACAAGAGATTAATGATTATTTTGGAGTCAGATAGAAAGAGGTAAGTATTAAGAGAACTTTAATAGGGTTAGCAAAGTATTATTTCTTAAGTTGGATGAAAGGCTCATAGGTGTATAGTTTATCATTATAGTCTGTAAGTTATAAGTGTAACTTGTCTTTTTGTATATATTAAATATTTTATAGTAATAAAAAGAGAATCTAGACCATTTGAAAGAGATGGCTTTAACCTTTTATTTTCCCCCTTATATATTTATGCTATTTCTATAGGAAATTCCTTATAGAGCAGCTGAAAAAGAACAGAGGGTTATGAGATTTACAGGCTTTGGCATTTATTAAACCGTGTACAGGATCTTAAAAAGTTACTTGATGTCTCTGAGCTGGTATTCTTTGGTGGTACTTTCTTTGAAGGCCATTGTGAGAATTAAGACAAATTACAGGTAAACTGCCCAGCCAGGAGTAGGTACTCAATGAATAACAGGACTTATTAGCAACAAGACATTACAATATCCATCTAAACATTAAAGAAATCCATTCATCATTCAGATAATCAGATGGGGTTTTTTTGCGCAAAAATTTCCACAAAAAACTAAAGCAATTTTTATTTTTATGATGATATTATAGCATTGCTAAAACAGCATCAAAATGAACCCTCATCGTAAAACTTGGGAACTGTTGAATTATCTTTTTCAGCATTACTGAGGTATAAATGACAACACTTGTATATACTTAAGGTATAAAACAGGACATTTTACACCATTTTTTTAAACCAAGTATTGAACTATTTGTAACTTGAAAAAATACTCATCTCTTAGAGCTATATCTGTTTCTAGACATAATTTCTTAAATGTCGCATAGAAAATAAAACCATTTTGAGGTAAGTATTCTTCCAATTACAGTTTCCAATACACCTAACATTTCAGCATTTTCAGAATATTTGTGTTCCTTAGTACTAGAACCTGAGAAATGGCCAATTTTAGCATCTACTGATTCCAGAAATTTCCACTTGTGTGAGTGTGTTATACATGAAGATATACATGTATATATTGTTAAAAGCCTAGAAAACTTGAAAGTCCCTGTAATTTCCACTGAACTCCACTGGGCATGTCATTTCTTTGTAAATACACCAATTTACTGCCATAGTTTGCTGCACATGGTCTATTTAAGAATTAAAATGAAACCCACTTCCTCTGCCTGGTATTCTAATTCCTTCAGGCCATCAGTACCTTCAGGCGAAAAACAGACAGAACCTGTCAACAGTTAGGGGTGCTGTGATCAAGTTCAGTATGAAGCAAAAATTCCAGGTAATCAAATTTGTCCTCAGCATTTCCCTTTCTCCTACACACTTATCTCCTAGGTCCCCACTCTCTATGAGTTCAGTGACTTAAACCTCCAGCTATGTCTCACTTCGCAGGTCAGCTTCCATTCAGGACCACCCTATTTGAAATAAAGCTCTTAATTATTCTCTGTTTTCCAGGCAAAATTACTGCAGTGCCACAAAATACAGAATTATAATATGCCAATGTTGTCTCATAAAGTTACATTAATTTACTAGGACAATGGGGGTATAACATGTAGGAAATAAATGCAGATGCTGAAAACCAAAAATGAAACACTGAAGTTGTTTTCCTTTTACATCTCTTATCAGAGGCTAACTTACTAGTGTTCTCAAATAAGCTTCCCTGTTTTCGTCATAGAATGAAGTGATGACTTCATTTAGGCCATTAGTGTTAATGGTCCTGGTGAGCAAGTGTACCAGCCCTGTCATACTGGAATCTGGGACAGGTAGACACTGAGTGACATTTCTTGTTAGCTAGAAGTCCTTAAACATGGTTCTCTGTATTATTCACTGTGGCTGCAAATCATTTGTCACTGCTACCTTTCCCATATGGCATTCCCATAGGCCTCCCAAACTATTTGCAACCAAGTGGCTCAGAAAGATAAACCAGTTGCTGTTATCTCAAATATTCACCAAAATAAGTTGAAATTAACTTTAAAATATCTACTATTTGGTATGCCATAGTATGTATATTGAGAATCAGATCTAATTTTCATTTGCAAATAGCTCAGAATATCAGCACCATGTACAACCTTCAACATTATAAATTACCCCCTAGTGATTTTGCAGAATAAGAAACTGAAGCCCAGAGAAGTTAAGTGATTTGCCATCAATGACATACTTAAGTAGCAGAGTTTGAACCAAGATTTCTTGATTTTTAGGCTGGCTTTTTCTCTATTCTTCTCTTTTTAACCATACCGCCGATTTGTCAACCAAGGGGGAAAAGACTTTGCATGAATTCTTGTTCTTAACATAAATAACCAATGTTAATACAGCTGGTGGTCACCATGTCCATGCTGTATGTTGTTGACAATTTGTTTGGCTATTTTAAATAACTACCTCCTAAAAAAAAGAATTAGGCTTCTGTTCAAAACTCTTCATATATACATTTGGCAATTCTGCATTCTGTGAAGCTAGTAACAAAGATGATTTTGAGTGTAATATGTGGGTATTCTACTTGAGAATGTTTCTGAATTATTGACTAAACTCCCACAAAATCACAACAGTTAGAAACTGTGCATGCTAACATAATCGTTTTGTTATTAAGTAGCTCTGTGCCAGCCTTACCTTTTAAAAATTATAATACTGTGGCTTAGCTGTTGCATTTTTTTAAAATTCTTTTGAAAACAAGACCTTCAAACATCATTTTTTTTTAAATGCCAATTTATTGTGTTACGAGTGATGTTTTCAAACAGAGGAATTATTGCCAAAATGCTACCAGGAGACAGCCAAAACCTCTCCATAAGGCTGATTCCTTTCCTCTTTCCAGTAGTTCATTACCAAAGGTAAAGACTGAGTAGAATGCACCATATTAATGACCCCATAAATCCCCTGAAATGAACAGTTAATGTCCTGATGTTGAACAAGTCAACTACACATAAGGCATGCATATATATTTTTAAAATACAGCTCACCTTTTCAAAATTATATTTCTATTGGTTCTGACTTCTTAAAGAGTTAAACTAAAGGCTTCTGGGAAGAGAGTAAATTGTAAAGTGTACCTTCTTTCCCTGCGATTTTTTTTTTTTTTTTAACCACAAGTAGAACAGTCAGGTGTAACTGAATCAAAATTCAAAATCAAAATCCTAATTAGATTTTACTTTAGATTAACAAAACTTGTGGTGCCTATGCTGTTCACATTAATTTCCCATCCCTAAAATTGCTAGAAATACCAAATCAAACACAACCCAGATTTCCTTATGAAGTGTGTGAACTAGTGCATTAAAAAGTCATGTTAGCACCAACAAAGTTTATAGGGGCAACTGCATTCAAGACGCACATGGCATACCTTTAAATAGCACTGTTAAAATACCAAATAAAATGTCAACGTCTGTCAGGTCTCTGGCTTTTATAAATTGTTTAGACTGGGAAACGTTGGGGTTTAGACATTGTTCTTTTCATATGATGTAGAAAAGAAGAGACCATAAAAAGAAAAGAACAATAAAGCGTAGATCATTTTTGAAGTTCTTTCATGGAAAAACATACCCTGGATCATTACCCTTCTAATCAACAATTTCCTTCTTCCTCCCAATCCTTCCCGTCTGGTATTTACCTTTCTCCCCCACCCCTCCCCTCCCCTCTCTCTGGGTGGTATTCTGAGCTTATACATAGTATTCAGTAATCATATTTTTTTAAATTGCTTCAAAAGAGAATCCCAGGAGGACATGACAGACATGTATATACTGGGTATTTTTAACCTGGACCATAGTTTTAACTCACCATTTCTGTACCCTTAAAAACACACCAGAGTGCCCTGACCACAGTTTCCCCACGAAGAGGAAGGCCTTGTGAGCAAAATCAGCTACTACCTACCTACAGATGAGTTATTATCACACCTTAGTGGCCATCTTCCTGCCCTCTTCCCTCCGCCCCTTTCCTTTTATTAGCACACCACACTAACCACAATTCCCAAACAACAACATCACTGTTTCAGCTTCTTCTCTGGATTTCCCACACTTAATGCAACCCAGACCTCACCTTCAGCTCTCCTGAGGCCACTTTGGAAGCCAGCTCGATGACACAGCCAACAGCCATGCGTGCAGCACCGGACGAGTGCAGCTCATTCCAAATGGTGTCACTGTCCACCTGAGCAAACAGTCAGCACAGCCCCAAGAAAGAGAGAGGGAAAACAAGAAGGAGAACGAATAGATGAAACAGGAAAGGGGTGGGGGGGGGGAAGGGAAGAGAGAAAGAAAGCAAATTTGTGAGGAAGGGCTGGCAGGGTAACAGCCTAGGTACAATAACATTAGTCTTCCATCCCGGCCAGCTGAAAAGACCTTCTGGACACGGCTTTGCTTATACTTTTTCTCTATACTGACTTCTCCAATGGAAATACATTCCTGCCATGCCTCACTGCCATTCCCTGTTTAGATTTCTCATTACAAACAGCATTACATAGGCTGGATCTGGTGTAGTTACAGGCCTGCTAGAAACCAGGCCCCAGTAGTAGATAGAGCAAAAGCTAAGAGCACTTAGCTATACATAAAAATTGGATTTGCAAGTGCTAGAGGGGAAAAATTCAAATATCCTTCTGGCTGCAGGTTTACAGGGAGCCAAAGACAATTATTGGGCAAGTAGAAGTAGCAGTCAGGGAGTAGAAAGTAGCAACCACAGTTCAGGTTCTCCAACTGAATGGAAGGAGTGTGTGGTCCTCACACTTAAAACATTCACCAAATTCAGCTGCAAGGATCAATGTGATTTTCAAAGTAGAAGCTTAAAATTTCTAACATTTAGTACAGTTTAGCAGCTGGTCTTAATGTAGATTGGTATTATTAAAATTGGGTAGGCCATTAAAATACATGGTTGCTTATATAAGAGAACATTCTTACTAAAACAGAGCAGAAACCAATATTTTTGATTTACCTTTATAAAATGTTATTTACTCTTTTTCATGCATGCAGTAAGATAACATATAACAAGGACAGGAAAAGTATAATAATAGTGGTCTATGATGATCATATGTTACATATTTTTATGTATAAAATATTTCTTAATATATAAAAACAGAATCAAATGTTTGAAGTCTCTAAACTTATGACACAAATTACATGAAGCCCTAGGAAATGTAATAAAAAATTTGTGACTATGCAAATAGCAAGACTTACTCAAATGGGTAAAAGAAGGGAAATCCCACACAAAATAAAATTTAAAAAACAATTAAGCTTAAGAAGCCTAATGACATGGAACAAATACAATAAATAACAATTATACATATTCACAATGCGCTAAGCAATTTCCTAAGCATTTTAACGTGACTTTTCTCATGAGATCTTACCAACTAAAATTCTGCCAAGAGCAATGAAGAAATAATAAATGAGAAAAGAAAGTAAATACATACATAAATAAAAAATTAAGATCTCTTCAACAACAATAAAGTGGTGAAGAGAGAAGTTTCTGAATCAAATTGTCAGGGTGAAGTTACAGCTTCACTGCTAAAACCTGAATCATGGTGGGCAATTAATTAATGAAATCTCTCTCTGCCTTGGTTCCCTTTCTAATGACACAGCAACTTTTTAAAGTTCCATCTGCATATGATTTTGGTGAGGATTAAATGAAAAAGTGATAAGCAAATCTTAGCTACTATGATTTAGGTTACTATTATATCCATTTTATAATGCCTTATACAAAGTAGAGGCCTTTTAAGTGTTTACTGAATGACACACTATGGCTTAGAGAGGCTACTCAGCTGGCCTAAGGACCTTCATACAGAACCCTGACACTAACATCACATGTCTTTCTACCACGATCCTGAAATAACCCTCAGCATCTAAGAATATTAAGCCCCTGTCATAGTCAACATCATCAGGTCAACACTACCCGCCAAAAAATAAAGGAATCATCAAATGGAAAATGGAATCTAATCATCTGCCCTCCAAATTAAGTTTTACTTTTACTGAACAATGTAAGCACTTATTTGAGCTTAATATAGACATATCCTTGAGGAATATGGTTGCTCAGGTTGAAAAATGAACACCAACATTTACATTGTGTTGCAGTTTTTAGCCAATTTTCAACTATTACAGAGTTATAGGTGCCACAGAAAGACTTCATTGATCAGATCTAAAATTATTGGGAAGGTAAGGAAACATAAATCAATAAATCCCAAAGACTTAATGGGTGAGTCAAAACCATACATAATTCCAAACCCCTTTTTACTTGACTTTGGAGTACACTCAAAGTTTTTTTTTTAAAAAGAAAAGAAAGAAAAATCGATCAATCAATAGAAAATTTCCTTCCAAAAAGCTATAAACCTACACTTGATTAGAAAAATATTCCAACACATAGGAACAATGTCTCTTTAATCGTAATACTAAGGGGCATTAGATAGCCACAAATAACTCCAAAATTCACCTTTTTATCTATATCTTTCTATCTTCCTGGAAGTATTCGTATAGACGTAATATTCTGTGTCTATGTCATCAATTTTGGTGTATAAACCTCTACTAATCAAGATACTTATTTTAATTCAGATAACATTTGTTAGGTACCTACTACGTAAGAGATGCTAAGAGTTATAGTATATGGGAGTTATTTTTATCATAAAGATATGATTATTGATAGTATATGGAGGTTATTTTTATCATAAAGATGATTATTGATACATGGTAGGCACATAGATGCTCAATGGAATGGATACTTGAGATTCTGACTATACCCAAAATTCAGGCTTATCCCTAAACAGGTGCTCTTTAGGAATCTATGAAATTTATCATCCATTTATTTACTTATACTTAAACATAAAAACATTTATTTAAATACTTCAACCCGTTTTATGTATAGTTTATAACTAAATGGTAATAATAGTCAAGATTTTGCATATAATCTATTCATAAACAGATAACTTATTTAATTCTGAATTTATTAACAGATGTTGTCTTAGCTCAGCTACCATAACAAAATACTATAGACTGAGCGAGCAGCTTAAACAACAGGATTTTATTTCTCCCAGTTCAAGAGGCTAGAAATCCAAGAAGGTGTCAGCCAGTTTGGTTTCTGGTTGAAATTCTGGTTCAGTTCTCATCCTGGCTTGCAGGTGTCTGCCTTCTCACTATGTCCTCACATGGCCTTTCCTCAGTGAGTGCATGTGGAGAGAGATCCCTCTCTTTTCCTCTTCTTATAAGGCCACGATTCCTATTCAATTCAATTAGGATCCCACCTGTATGACCTCATTTAATCTTAATTACCTTCTAAAAGCCTTATTAAATTAAATCACATCAGAGATTAGGGCTTCAATATATGAATTTGTGGGGAAACAATTCAGTTCACAGCAAGGTTATATCCCAAAAATACGTTTATAAGTCAATTTATAAACATATTTTCCCAAGATATTATATTCAAAGTGGTGTTCCAGGGCCACTGGCTACCAAAATTAGTTACTAAAAGCTTCTCACGTGTATTTACCATGTTATAGTTTAATAAGAGCTCCAAGGGTAAGAAAATATGCATGGCTCATGAACTCTCATGACTATAATCTCTGTCACTAGAGGAGATTCCCAAATCCACTTCCTACTATTCTCAAAGGCAAAAAGTATTTCTTCTCCTGTTATGTCCCTCTCATTTGTTGGAGATATTGCCAAAACTTTTTCCTGCATTAGTGATAGTGTCAAGAAGGTCACTGTCATACGAAAAGCTCTGATTTTAACAGGTGTAAGACCTTCTGACAAACTCTAGTTAAGAAAGGATGGTTGATTCCGCTAATTGTTGGTGGTTCTGGCATGGAACAGGATACTGAGTGGCTGGAAAAGAAGAAAAAAGAGCAAGAAGAATTAGATTTAGGTGGGATATATGAAAACAGGATTAAGAAGCTAAGATGACAATACAATGATGGTAAAAGTAGAGACCAGAAGAACTTAGAACTGTAAAACAGGTGCTCTAGCATTTGAAAGCTGAAGGTAGAGAAATTAGGGAAGTGATGCAGAGTTGGCTCTGGATATGGAAAATAATTGTAAACAATGTAAACTGTTCTGGATAGGGGATAAGTCCTGGAAAGGGGAAAGAAACGGTAGGGGAAAGGGGAAAGAAATGGTAGTGGAGCAGAAAGCAATCCTGCTAACTACACTAGCTGGTTATTAATATCTTGCTAAAGTTGTTAAGACATGCAAAGCAAATTCATAAAATCAAAACTATTATAATTTGAAAAAAAAATCAACGTGCTTGTATCTTTTTTCTTTCTATACACCATATTTACTTCCCCTTAGCCTCTCCACCAATTTATTCTTCAGCATGATATGTATGTGTGTGAGCACAGGCACACATGTACACATATGTTAGGAGGCAACAGTATACAAACTAGGGGAGATTAGGATTGATACAAAAGAAATGTGAAGAAACTGACATTCAAAATGGGATTTTGCATCAGTACACATAAAAATCTGGATTTTGTGGTCACAGAGGATTTTTTCCAAATTCTTTTACATAACAAGAATTAAGCCGATGGTCTCAGGTTATAGTCTTACATTGTGACAGCATCAAGACAATCCTACCATTGCCTTTCTGATATTCAGCAAAGAGACTCTTTCTACCTATGACAACCAGGCCTAGAGTTTATTGATTTAGGCTTTAGATAGGATACAGTAAGAGGAAAAAAGAGCCAAAAGTAATCCCTTCAGGTCCAAAGAGATTGGAGAAAGGCAAATAATCCAAAAGTGCAGCAGAAGCACCCCACCAAGGAACCCCACCAGGGAACCCCACCAAGCTTCATCTTGCAGTGAAATCAGGAGAAAATCAGCTGCTTCAAATGCTAGGCAATTAGGAACAATAAGATGGACCAGAGAAATTGCCACAGAAGCCTGAAGATTCCAGAGGACAGCATAAGCATCCAAAAACCTCATCAGGTCTCCATCACTCCCTCAGATATCCAAAAGCCATCTTGAAAGAAGAAGCTCAGAGACTGAGCAATTACCTAAAAAAGACTGCATCCAATAATAGTAAGTTGATCTTGAAGAGATGGATATATTAGTAATTGTGGAAAAGATCAATGTAATTAGGAAAAATAGAGCATATTTATCACACATGAGTGAGCATGACTAATTCTAATGTTGTGTTCCATTTTTAAGGTCAGGAATTTACTCTGCTAGATGACAGAG